TGTCGGCAATCTTGAGGGCGAGGATCTCGAGCTCGGTCCAGTGGACGGATTTGGCGCTTTCGACATTGGTCTCGAGGCGGGGGTCGGCGAGCGGGGTGACGGTGGCTTTGGCCCGGGCTTTCTTTTGTCGTCGGGATTCCTTTGCAGGTGCCGGGGCTGTCTCGACGATTTCTGTCTGGTCGGCGTTCGGGTTTCGGGACACGATCTTGTCGGCGGTTTGCTTGACCCAGCTGGTGAACTGTGCCTGCGCAAGCTTGTAACGGGCCCACGTGCCGCGGCCCACTCGATTCTCGGCCGCTTCCATTGCTCAGCGGAGAGGGACGTGTGAGGGTGTCGACATTAGACGGACTGACCTTGTCTTGGGTGCCAATTCGTGCAAAGAAGCAGTCTCGGCACCAAGTTAGGTATTTTTCGTGTCAAGCTGAACGACGTCACGCGTTCCGGGGGCAAGACGTGCCATTCAGCCCACGATGGCGGGGAGCTCCTTGTATATAAAAAAGTGTAATGAATGGCCTGTGCTCTTCCCTCTCTGAACTCGGGCGGGGTCGCTTCAACATCCCCTCGTCAACAACAGGGCATCTACAGCTTGCAGACAAACGTCGAGAATTGCAATTATCCGTCGTTTTGTTTGGCAGCAAAGCTCCTTCCCAAGCATCATGGGTGCCCGCCTTGGAATCAAGAGCCAATGATGACCTGGGTCTCGCAAAGTGAGTCCCGTCTGGCTTTCTCTCTTCAACATCACCACACGCACATCTCCGTCATCCAGGCAACAGCACCTCTTCACCTTGATCGCCAACTCACAATGGGCTCCAACGATGTGCCACCGGCCCATTGCCCGTCATGGGTAATCCCCACCAGTACCGCTCTGCTCGGCATCGGCGTGCTCTTCTGGGACGCGACCTACATCTTGATGACACGCCGCGCCCTAGCCACCAAGACCTACGGCATGCCGCTCCTGGCCCTCGCCCTCAACGTTTCATGGGAGCTTGTGTATGCCTTTTACGTCAGCGAGATGATTCTGGAGAAACTCGGGTTTGGCTTCTGGCTCTTGCTGGACATTGGCCTCATCTACACCACCGTCCAGTTCGGTCCCGAGGCTTGGCGTCGTACGAACCCGTGGGTAGGCCGGAACATCGGCTGGCTCTTTGCCCTTATGACCGCCGTCGGATGCGCGGGTCACTACGCCTTTGCTGCCTGGTGGATGTCGGAGCCTCACCGGGGTTCCGGCGATAAGACGGGCAAGTTTTGGGCGGGCCAGGATGGATATGACGCCACCGAGGTGGCCTTTTGGTCCGCCGCGCTGTGTCAACTGGCCGGCAGCGCGGGGAGTCTTGCCATGCTCATAACCCGGGGTCATTCTGGGGGGACAAGCTATCTGATTTGGTACGTCTTCTTTCTGTATCTGTACATGGACATGGCATGGTTTCAGGATCCCCGGGCTGCTCGACGAATTCGCGCTTCGAGTTCGGGTTCAACCAAGGGTGGTAATATCTCCGCTGGAACAGGGAAATTATCGCAAATATTTGCGAGTTTGGCGTTTCACTTACAACGCCACACCCGCGCCTTGCGCTTAGTGAACCCATCACAATCACGGACATCTCCACGCAAACGTCACTAACAAGTTACCCCAGGCTATGTCGAGCTCTCGGAACACTGGTCGGTTTGGTGTTGGCCAACGTCTTCCTTTGGTGGTTCTGGCCAGAGGCACACGGGTTCGTCTTCAACCCATTTGCCGTATTCTTATGGGGAACTTCCCTCATCTGCGATATTGCCTATCCTTTCGTGCTGTGGCAGGTCCGCCGCTCGGAAGTAGTGCTTCCAGACGGTACGCTCGCAATGAGGACCGCCATGGCAGTCCCCAGGAACCAACAGAAGAAGAAGCAATAAGGTCTTCGTCTCTGCAAGGGGTTGGACTGTTGTTCAGACAGGTAACTATTGGCAGTCAAACGACCACGGTTTTCCCTAGATTTCAGCAAGTGCCTCTGCTTGAGACTTGCTAGCCTCCAAGCTGCATAGAATTACCATCATGTGCTCTGTGGTCGTCGTCGGGCTCGAGACTATTGTTCCGGTGAAGTGGTAACACGATGCCGTGCAAGAGTTCCATTGCATCGATAGAAGGCCAACCAGCGACATACACACAGCCCTATGCACAGTGCGTTAAGTGTTTCGCATGCCGTCTTGACAGGAACTCTTGTTGCATTCTACCAACCAGAAATAACCTTCCATAGGCCGAAAACGAGTTGACGGTCAATCAGCATCGAATGGTAAAGAGCCACGATCGTTGATCACGTCAAAGTGAAGCAAATGCCTGCATAAACGACCAAAACAAGCATGCAGTCCACGCTTCCCGAGGGAAATCCCATCAATCCGTCCTTGCGCATAACAAACGGAGCTCGCCCAGGGACCGTTTTGGCCTCTTTGTACCTGTGAGAAGGGTCCAAAGTACTTATAGGCAAACGAATCAGTCCAGGGCTAGGCAGGACATGCCCCAGAGTCGAAAAAGGGAGGTGAAACCAGGCCATGGGAAATCCGAATTTGTGAAATCGATCAGTTAAGCCACAAGCAGCCACAGATGGGTACGCAACCAGCCCCGGAGTACCGCCAGTGAGCCCAGACCACCGCCGGCACTGGAATTTGCCCGACAAATTGACTGGTCGCAACAGGCGGTCGTGATCGCTCACATGATCGTTGAGACACCACGCTGGAGATCCCCGGCCTCTAATCCCACCTTGACGGGCATCACACACTTTCACACAGTCTCACCTGCACGCTACGGGATACCAGAAAGGAAAACATCGGGGGAACCCCAGAGACAACAACGGGGACTCGGACGGGTTGTTCATCGTTGATGTGGTTATCTCTCTGGGAAGGGCCGTCCGAAGCATCAAGGAACTGCTTCTGACATCGGTGTGATTTGTTACCGGAGAGTGTCCTTCTGGTTTAAACCGTCGGTGACTTTTTAGCTTCCTTCTTCCATTCGCCGTTACCTTCCCAGGTGATGACCGGCCGAATGACATATCAACTGAATCAAGCGTACAGTTCATACAGTCCGGCACTAGAATAGTAGCCCAGCTCACCTTATCCATGTTCATGCAATGGAAACAGTATCGAAGGGACTTTGAAAGCCAAAGCCTACGGATTGTGGGAGGCCTGTGTTTATCCCATACACCAAAAGATCTCGGCGACGGGCAAGCTGGACAGTAACTCGCCGATCATCGTCACTTTTCCACTGAGACCTTGCAAGAACGGTACTCATTAGCATTACCGAACCGGAATGCTGGGAACCGTTACAGAGCAAAGTATCCAGCCAAAAGCTAAGCGAGATATGACACCGACCAAAGCCCAAGGAAATCGGTCGATTCTGAATCAACAACCATGGGGAGAGACTGGAGTGAACATCTCACCTTCCCCATGAAGCAAAACACGGACCCACACCTGTCTTTGACCGTCCGTTTGAACCGTCCTCCCAATACCTACACTAGCTCTCTCAAGAGATTTACCATTCCTAACAGCAAACTTTGCTTCTCTGTCTGAACTTCGCAAGCCCACACCAAACTCGCTTTGGCGTGCCCGCGGCTACGCGTCTATTTTTGAATTTATAAAATACTTACAAGCAAGCCATTCTGCCTCACATGTTCCCCAGTATGTACGCTCCCTCTTTCGTGAAAATCGCTAGTCACCACCTAGCCGACCACTTGCCCGCCCCGGGCTCCAGACCTCGGGTAACAACCAGATGCTGTACCTAGTACCGCATCTACTTACAAATGATGATATTTGCTATGGATGAGTAGAAGCGGTACCTTGTCACGCTTGTCTCGGGCGCACTTTTTACCGGACGATCTCGATTATGGAAGGGAAGCTAGGGAAGTTTTATCCATTTCCAGCTTAGCTTCTCTTTCCCCATTCAGACACAGTGTCGTCGATAAAGCTCCTACCGAGAAGTAGCTGTACCTCTGCACTAGGCTATCAAGCGCAAGCAGCAAGGCTCGCGATATACATCCTCAATCTACCGACAGCTTGGGTAACATGCGTTAGTTCCAGCCAAACTCTGATGAACCAGAACAGCTCATCATCGATCACAAGAGAGCGGAAGGATGAGCTCTGATCAACAAATTCATGTCATAAAATCACAAAATTTGTTGGCATCAGAGCTGGGAACTTATGAATCCGAGAGCCGGGTTGTTGGAACCTGCGCATATGTTCCTGGCCATAGTCCTTGGTGACACCTGACCGGATTGGGCCGGCGACTGGAATTCCCATGGGAATTTACCGACTACCTCTAGGATGTTTGTTTACGCGCTCAGACCCGAACATCCTTTGAAAAACAGGCCAGACTAACGCAGACGGCATCCAAACGGTCGAAGGCTCGCTGCTTGTCTGCCCGGTCCGTGACAGTGTTTGGAACTCCAGTATGCAGGCATTTCTCTCGAAGTTTCGATGCCTTTTACAGTCATACAAGAACCTGTCCGTGACTGTGGGATTCATCCCGACGCCGGTCACATGAGAGATTGCACATGCGGTTCGTCGGCGGTACCGGAATACCGGCGCGGGTACCTTGAATTCCAAATTCCAATGCATCGTACGACAGACGACAGAAGCAATAGAGGTATCTGAGACCTCGCCGTCGCCGTCGCCGAATTCCATGCCTTTCTGGGAACGGAGTGGACCCTGTGTTGTTTCTTTGGACCCTGTGTTGTTTCTTTTTCCTTGAGGTTTCAGCGCAAAGAAGTATCTGCCAGGTATGGTGACGGTTGTGAAGTACTGTACCGAGCGACTTAGGCGACTGTACAAGCCGGATACTTCCAGATTGACAGACGTTCTTACCCTCTTTTTTTCGGAATGATTACTGGCACGGCTTTGTTTTGCCATTCTGAAACTACTCAAGTAGTAAGTACAACAAGCATCGCCGCTTGAGAAGTCATCTCCGCTTATTGGCTGGCTGGCAGAGGGCTGTCCTTCTCAAGTTAAATTGTCGCCTGTTATCTTTCAGCCAATCAAAAGGCAAGATGGCCGAGCGGTCTAAGGCGCCACGTTAAGGTTAACCCTTATTCTCCTCTTCGAGTTCCGTGGTCCGAAAGGGCGTGGGTTCGAATCCCACTCTTGTCAATTGCCTGTTTTCATCCACCTTTGCACATGTGGATCGTCTCTTTTTTATTGAGTTCTTTGGCGATGGCCGGAATACCGTGAACAGCGTGGGTAGCGAGGCATTGTGGAAAAGGGACGACACTCGACAGTTAAGCAAATAATATTTTACCTTTTGAGGCTTTGCCCTACAATGGTGTTTTGTATGTGCGTGTAGTGTGTGTAAGATTATTTACTGAATCGGTAGTGAAAGTGCAATTGGCTATAGGGATGTTCATGTTCTACGTCTTTTTTTTGCTTTTAAATGTGTATAGAATAACGTTTGAGTTGCTAAAAGCTAAAAAGAATAATGAAGAACGACGGAGAGATAATAAAGGAGAAATCCTACCCGCACGCACCCTAAAACCTACTGGCACCCTCTCCCCACCAGAAAGTGGGCCTTGCAGCTGGATGACACCTGACATCGTAAACCCCGTTTTTGCCCGCTAAATTTCGATATTTCAATGCGTTGAAACATTGCACTAACTTCCACTTGGTCAAAATTCTTCGCACTTTCAAACCTACCTGCTACACATTTGCACAGCGCATTTGCATAGCGCATTTGCACAGCGTATTTGCACAGCGTATTTGCACAGCACATTTGCACATACCTCTCGTAAAACACCACCTCTTTAATCTACCCAACGGAGGCACAGCGGGCACCCATCGAGATATCGTCTGAGCTTTCGTCCATCGAGAGCGATTTTGACTGGGATGCGATATAGCGAGTAGATAGAGCGGTCAATTTGCAGCAGATTGCACCAAACACCATGGGTTTATCACGAGATTTGAGTGATCTGGATCATAGTATAGAGGTATTCTGGGTCATATGGCTGGGTGATTCAAGTGGTAATGACCATTGAGAATAGTAGGTTTTACCGCTAAAACACGATAATTTACATGACAGCTGACATTTTCCCAGACTACGTGCCAGTAGGTTTAGGGTGCGTGCGGGTAGGATTTCTCTAATAAAGAGGTTTCGTGGTGGCCTTTGGCAAGTTGACTTCGAAGCTTTTTAAGGTAGAGGTAACTAAGGTATAGAAGACGCGGTCTGGTAGATTGTTCCACTTCACAAGTGCTGTGTAGATGTGTTCGTTGAGTGCAGAAACAACGTTACTCTCTTTAGTGTACATAAAAACATATGCCGATCCGGAATGCCAACGACGGTTAAACAAGCTGCATGGCGCAGCGGAAGCGCGCCGGGCTCATAACCCGGAGGTCACTCGATCGAAACGAGTTGCAGCTACACAACATCTTCTCTTTTTGCTCTTTCTTGACCTTTTCTTTTTTCCAGATTTGATTTATTTTTCTTTGTGATCTGGTTGTGGAGTTCCCGATAAGTTCAAGTGGATCATAGAGTTCTCCGTGATTGAACCGGGTCCAGTCCGGCAGCGGTCTCCAATATGGCCCGGTCCGCTCCCGCCCCGGGTCCTGTTTTGTAACTTGTAAGTTATCATTTCGAGTCTCTTTATTACCAGATCACAGCTCCGCCTTTCATGAATATTGTTATTTATGCACTCCTTTCGATGAATGTTTTAGTCAGTTGTTGTTTTCCATTTTGGACTCTTTGGTGTACATCATCTAGTCTTCAACTTCTCCTCTTCACTCTTCAGTGGTCAACCTTGATGGCCACCATTCAAAGGTTTTCACTTGCGCCTTCTTTCAAACCCATCATGAAGGACATGAGCACATCTACACCTCCGCCCCTGCGTGCTTGGCCACTGAGACGATTGAAGCCCAAAGTGGATGGTTTGACGAGAACAGGAGCAGCCGCTGCTGAGTAACCATCACACCAGATGACTCCTAGGTATGCGGCTTTTTCCTACCTCTCCCCTCCTTGACACCAACACAGCGTGGGATGAAGAAGTAGGTGTCCAGGTTGATGAATATGGTTATGTTAGAATCAGGAATTTAGGATCAGGATCACTGGTTTGTAAGAGCACCTCTTCTGTGGGGGGAACGCACAACTCCATATCCACCCCACGTCCGCCCACGGTGGCGTACATGGCGCAATCTCCATCCCATCCCCATCATTGATGCTTATCGACATCAATCTTACCTTTTTGCTTCATTATTTGTCGACGCATACGGATTGTGCTACGATTTGAAGTCCGCTCGATGATGAGAATGCCGATTGCGTCAGCTTCATCTGTCAATATCGATTTCACATGTCAGACAGGACCCTCCGAAGCGATTCGTCCTCTGGGACTTCCGGGGGTTCGGAACTGGGGTCTTCGGTCAAGGGTCTGTCAAGACTTGAAAAATTGGAAGCTGACATCAGACGGGACGGGAGGGATATGGAGAGAACCTCGTCATAATAGTTTGCAAGCCAAGAAGATCAGCAGTCAGAGTTAGCTATTATGACCTTTAGGCATTTGAGAAGTGATTGCCTTCCTGATTTGTGTGAAGCGGCATGGAATGAGATTAGCAGGACCTTGTTCGGGAACCACGGTCAGGAAAGGAAGGAGAACAGAAGCAACATCAGCACGACTGTTGCCGAAGAAAGCCCACCTGAGATGTGTTGAAGGCGGCAGAAGGGGACTCCCATGCCTTGTACACCGACAAGCCTGTGATAGAAACGGTGAGATGCGCCGTTTCCTTCATGCTCCGTTTTGGACGAATGAGCCTGAAAACATCGAAAGCCAGATAAGCGAAGACCTGTGGCTTGTCAGGTATCATGGAGGCACGGATTAGGACATCGTCTGTCGTTGCTGGGAGTAGGACCGAAGACTCAGGTCAGTGTAACCGCAATTAAGTCTTAGGACAGATCTGATATAACTCGGTGAGCCGGCCGGATGGACAGACCCATGAAAGATGGAGGCTCGATGAAAGTGTGGGGTCTTATAAGGCCGCATTAATGACCGGGAGGTTGAGACGTCACAGAATGGAACCCCAGAAAGTTCCATGACATGGAGGTACAATGATGCCGCGTGGTTAGCTAGTCCGACGACTGAGACACGCACGGAATGACGGGCGAATGTCTGGCTTCGGGTTATAGTATCTGATATGGGATCTTTAGATGCTACTCCGCTGAAACAGACACTCCATGTGTGCTTACCGAGTCGAATGATTGTCTGACTAGAGATATGAGCAAGCCCGACAGAGCCTGACTATCAGTAGCCTTGGAGAATCGTTATATAATTTCCACCCAACACTCACCAGTAAATCAATAAACCATACCAAGGCTTGGGCGCACAGGCATCTTGTTTACCTGGTTGATGATGCTTATTCTTAGTTGCGGCAATGCGCCCAGAAATATAGCCGCGATAACGTCGAGAACTGAATATTAACCGACATGATGTGGCATTCCAGGAAAGCTGGGGGCTGGTTGAGACGTCCTGTGAGGGTCGGACATGTGCATACCGACTTTGGAGCCCTGTTGCTTTGGGTCAAGGCACCGGAGACACGAGCCGAAGCTCGTTACATTTCCGGCCGAGCTGCAGCGTAGACTACCCTCGACTGCCACTTCAAGTGCCGGCTCTGCCTCCTTCTTGGACGTTGAAGGTCAACTTTGGTTCTTTTGGGGAACAGTGTCCACGATCGATTTTGCTAGAAGCTGTCTTTTTTGGGCGGCTGGCATGGTGTGCCGAGCGATCTGCGCGTCATGCTCTAGTCCTGGGACGGCCACTTGGGACGTAAGCTGCCGCAGCTACGTATGTAGCCTGCACTCTTTTGGGTCCGGGACATTGGTAGGTCAAGGGAGAGTCTGAGGCCTGGAGATGGTTGAACAAGTGCCAGAGCCAGCAAGTGAAGCGCTTTGGACTTGAAGACCACCGTGAGCCATGAGTATTGCCCAACTGTTCGACTCGGGTACTCGGAAACCCAATGCTGACACTGACGTTGAAGCGTGCAAAAAAACGCTGTGGTTGAGGCATGAAGCCGGAAATTTGGACTTCGGGGAGACGGACCGTCGAAGGAGATCGGGTGCCATGATGTCAACGGCAACGTGGGTGTGTCTGTGCCGAGTCCGCCCAAATATGAATCTCCAACGGTTCGTCTAAACTTGGCCTGCATTTGCTGGGCCCTGCAGGGAAGAGCAAGGCCATGAAAGCCCTGGCATATGTAGCTGGTATTAGAACTTGATGTCGAATATATCCCGTGGAGCGGTTGGTTGGCGTGTTTTTGGGACCATGGAGGTCGTTTCTCCGAGGGCCTCCATCAACGGCTGTTTATCAATATGGCTCAGACTTCATTCCAAGCAGGTATCTGCAATCAGGTGATGGAAATCGAGGTCGATCAATGCGGAGAGCGTCTATCCCGCCTGTACTCGGGATTCGAGGAGCGTCGTTGTGTCCCGTCCCCTGGGGCGTCGGCAAGTGGGTGTGAAGCTAAGTCTACCTTAGGTCTAGGTGCCTGAGGTGCGGCCGCTATAAGGCCGCTGCAAGAATTATCAGCTTTAGGTGTCATTTAGGGCCCGGGCCCCCAACCTGAACGACGTCGGGTGCCAATACCTAAGGTACCCAATACCTACTACCTTACCCCCTAGTACTGATCGATCTCCGGCATCATCTTTTTCGTCATTTGTGACATTTCCTCCCGATATTCCAACTTGACCATGGCCTTACACACATTGCCAGACCGGTGAACAGAGGTAGGGCTTGTAGGCTGCTCGACGCTCGGATGAGGCGGGGTAGTATCGTGATGCCTTCCAGGAGTACATAGCTCATCATGTACCGGTACTTGCTCTACTTGGACGAGAGAAGCGGGTGGTGGCCCTCGGTGGTGGCTCCCGTCTGCTGGCATCCGATCCGATACAACGAAAAGCTGGAAGGCCGGTCCTACAGCAGCATCAAGAAAGAGACGAGGAGCTTCGGCATGGTTCCAGCTTCTGCAATACGATAACTGGCGCTTGATGTCGCGAAGCACAAATCGGTTTCATCGTGGTCGGAGGGATGTCGGTTGCACTGGGAGTCTGCATCCAGGTCCTCGAGATTACCCGTTTTGGACAGAAAATATCCGTGCACCCCTAAGGTCACAAGTCACTC